ATGTTGGCTTAATCAACTCTATCATAACGATAAACACAATAATGTGTTGAATCAGTATTTTCCTAATTTAACAGGCTTTGAATGTTGTGTGTGGAGGTTCCAAGGCTTGAAAATTATGCAACTCTAACCATTAGGATTTACAAAATGCTTCTACATATAAACATGATTCTTGTCAACTTCCAGAGCAAAAAGTGTAGTTGAACTTTTCTTCAATATTTGTAAACCAACTTATCCAACTTGCCCGTTGGCTAGCTGGTTCCTAGGTTTACAGGTTTGATCAACCAAGTCAAATAATTATTTGCTTTGAGAAGATTAAAATATCATTTTTACTTTTTAACTTTGAAAAAGTACAAAAGATAGTTATTGTAAACTTTGATTAAAGTGTGTTGACATATTTTTAACTTTGATATATTTATTTCAAATAAAATTTATCAACTGTTAAAAGGCAATAAAAAATAAATGGTAGCAGCACAAAATTTCCATATTGTCTTCATCACCAATTGCTTAATGATTGAAAGCCTCTACATCTTTCAATGGCTTCATAAACTAAGCTTGGTTAATTGTTTCATTCAGGCAAATCTCAAGGCATCATTTTATTACCTTACCGCAATCTCCTTAGCCAGTGTTGTTTATTGGAGAACTTCTGTTGGTTCTAAACCAAAAATAAATCATATAAGTCACAATAATTTCTCTAATAAAATTTAACAAATAAATTAACAAAAATTCATACCTTAATCTTGCATTAAAAAATGCAAATAATTTGTAACATAAAAATGTTGATTTGGCATGGGTTGAGGCGCGGACTAGGTCGCTCTCTTTAAGACGATTCGCGCCTCTACGGAGTATCCTCCGATGTAGTAGGTCTCAGCACGTCGCCTCCAGGATACAACAGCCTACCCTTTTGCACACTGTAGTCTACTACAATCTACACTATTGGAGCAAGACAGAAACCTCACACTAACACTGTTCTTTGCCCTATAAACTCTTATAGTAGTGGAGGAAAAATATAAGGTAGTACAGAGAGAGCAAAGTATCTATTTGGTTTAGTTGATAGATGCCTTATATATAGGCTAAGAAATTAGGAATATTAAAATACCAACATTAATACGAATTAACACCTCATATTTCAGTTACAAATTGAAAAGTCTAGATTCATTGTATAACGGTAAAAAATTACTAAATGAATTCATAAAACCTAATCATTACATAAGTTACAAATACAAGACATAAATCTCATAAGTTACACATTTAAATGTTTCAATTTGTAACTGAAAATTTATTTAAAGAATTTGTAATTTATTTTATTTGAATTCAAAATAAATATGTGATATTTTTTATTAAAATATCCAACAATCCCCCACTTATTTTAATAAAAAAATAATATTCAAAACTTAACACTTAATAGGGCAAAGATTAAAAATTCATGCATAATGAAGGTGGCAATGCCTTTAAACCTTCACTTAGTGCTCAACAATTCCCGTGCTAGAATCAAAGTGGACTTAGCCTTTAAACGATGACTATTTGAGGGCACGTGAAATCGTATCACACACATGAACTTTTCAGTGTTCCCAAATAGGTTTCCTAAACCAGCACATTTATGGCCTTGTGCTTTATCCCGGTTTTCATGAGTGCTCTAGAGAACCAGCCCAAATTCTTATAGGAAGCGGCCCTACTTCCACACTCATATAGGTGAGTCTATCAAGGATGCTCCTGTGACTTAGACATCCCACCCATAAGGGCTATAGAACTCATTAAGGGAATAAAAATCCCAACCTCGCTTATCGTTATAGGATCACAAATGCACTTACATCATAGGGATGGACAACATAATCAAAGTAGTGCATATTAATCAACCAAATCACTCTATGATTCGTTTGTCTCCGACCTAGTTTTTGGGATCTCCAGTCCCTAGGTGGTTGTATCCTCATAGGTGATTTTTAACATATATTAAACTTTTGTCTTATCCCCCTCGATGTGTATCATATCCTTGACTCAAGCTTGAGATTTATATTTTCAACACAAATAAAATAACAAAGATATGATATTCTCGAATTTTTTCAAGTAATCTCTTAGTGGTCCAAATACATGGAACTAATCTTCGATGAGAAAATTTCTCATCCATATATTTTTGCCAAATAGTGTAGGCGTATATTTACTCATAAGTAATTTTTTTAATTTTTTCTATGGCCAGTAGTCTAGTGATGCACTAGAAGCCATTCTCAAAAACTCCATGATTATTTTTGCTTTAGCAAAAATATCAAAAAAACATTTTAAGTACCTTCACATCAGGCCTTTCAGTGAGTGCTAGTCTACTCAACTCAAAATAAGAGTTCAAATAAATCAAAAAATAATAATAATGTTATACTCATATATTGAGCAAATAAAAAGATATCACTCTATTTTTTCACCACTTCTGCTACCATTGTGTTTTATTTCAAACACATTTATCAAGAGTTGCACATGAGACATCAAAATGATAGCAAATTTTAAAATACATTAAAATCCTTCTCCTTCCAAGACAGAGATGTAGTGATGCATACTATCACGTAAATCAAATTCTATGTTAGCCTTAGAAATTATAGGCCCCCACTATTTATCATATTTTTTTATAGTGCAAATTTCACACTGAGTGGATCATGGTATGGAAGGCATTTATTTTAGATGACTAGCAGTCTGTAATAAGTAACTTGGTTATTTAGGATCTAAATGTCATAACCAAATACAAACAAAAAAAAAATTGACAATCTCCCAAAGCTAATATAAGTACATGGAAACATATTTTTCAACAAATCAAAAACATATAACTTGTAGCATATTCAATGCCAAAGCAAGAGTTCTTCCACTCAAAAATAATTTTAAAAAGATCATCTCGAGAAATAGCTTAGCAAAACCTCCTTTATATTATTTATTTATTTTTTATGCACGGTATTTCAAATAAGAGAAATCAATAATTATCCTTCAAAGTCATGAAGTATTATTAGTCAATGCATATGCCCCCACTTAATTCTCATAGAAGACAACTAAACAAGAAATGTATCCAGTTAGTTAATAGTTTAGTACCGCATAGTATTAACACCTGCATACAATAAGTCAGAAGATAATTTGTTTACTAAAAGTGTAGACTAATTTTTTCCATAAACATCATCTGCCACTATATTTCACAATCTAGTATTACTACATAGCAATTAAATTTTGATGAGCATCCTACTAATGTATTTGTACGTAAATAGCCAAAACTAGTATATCCACCAAAACTTGAAATCCCTATATATATATTTTGGTTAACAAGTTGAAATACATTTCCATTCCAAATTAAATTTGACTGATGATATATGTTGACATATATCTTTGCCACCAAGTTAATCATTTATATGTCAATGCCAATTTTTCAACTGGTATAATTCATTAGTATAAGAGACATTGAAAATTCATGACAAGCTTAGGAGAAAATAGTTGCTCTATGCAGCATATATTAGAAGCACAAAGATGATAAAATGTTACCATACGCGGTCTATTATTATTCAATGACGTCATGCAAGTAACTTTTTTGCTGTCATCATGTTTACCTTGAACAAACAAATACATGATATTCTATTAATAAGAGGCAACTTGGATCCAAAGGTATATATTGCAAATTATTTATATGCAATTACACAATATTAATACCGGACTCTAAAGCACATGAAATCAATGGATTATCCTTTCTTACCTTGGTCCATAATTATGACTATTCACATGAAGCATATTTGTTTATTGAAGTTTATCCGGATTATGTTATACACCATGTAAGATTCTCATCTCCAGTTTTTGTTATTTGATTAGTCAGAAGCTAAACATGCAACGATAACCTTATCTCATGTGAAGAGGCTAATCGTCTTAAAATTGTTGGTTCTAAACCAAAAATAAATCATATAAGTCACAATAATTTCTCTAATAAAATTTAACAAATAAATTAACAAAAATTCATACCTTAATCTTGCATTAAAAAATGCAAATAATTTGTACCATAAAAATGTTGATTTGGCATGGGTTGAGGCGCGGACTAGGTCGCTCTCTTTAAGACGATTCGCGCCCTACGGAGTATCCTCCGATGTAGTAGGTCTCAGCACGTCGCCTCCAGGATACAACAGCCCAGCCTTTTGCACACTGTAGTCTACTCCAATCTACACTATTGGAGCAAGACAGAAACCTCACACTACCACTGTTCTTTGCCCTATAAACTCTTATAGTAGTGGAGGAAAAATATAAGGTAGTACAGAGAGAGCAAAGTATCTATTTGGTTTAGTTGATAGATGCCTTATATATAGGCTAAGAAATTAGGAATATTAAAATACCAACATTAATACGAATTAACACCTCATATTTCAGTTACAAATTGAAAAGTCTAGATTCATTGTATAACGGTAAAAAATTACTAAATGAATTCATAAAACCTAATCATTACATAAGTTACAAATACAAGACATAAATCTCATAAGTTACACATTTAAATGTTTCAATTTGTAACTGAAAATTTATTTAAAGAATTTGTAATTTATTTTATTTGAATTCAAAATAAATATGTGATATTTTTTATTAAAATATCCAACAACTTCTCCGGTGGCTGTTGCAGGAGCATGCAAACTTTGTGTTGGAGATCGTACTATTCTTTGTTCCATTCTCATTTTCTTTAACTACATTATCAAGTCAAATCAATTGTTTCTTGCAGTACTTCTCCGATAGCTCCATCTTATTGATTCCAATGACACTTTAAGCCTCTTCACCGTTTTTACCAACAATTGATGATCAATACCCATGAAATTGGTAACAAGAAATGCCTAAACATCCACTAAGGCCTCCGGTAGTAAGCAATTATGGTATAACCAGTCTGGGCAAAGGTGAAGGCAAAAAGAAACATTGAACCTATTACAGATATACTTGCCCATGGATTGCTAAAGTAAGTCCTAACAAGATTGGCTCTCCAACGAACCCAAGGTCTATTGCAATACTTGATAACTTCCTTATCGACCATATAAATCAAGCTCTGTATCAATTGTGACATCTTTGGTCAGGGAGTTGAATAAATCAGCAACAACTTCATCCTTACCAAGAGAATTTTGGATGATCCCACAAGAACGAATGAGACTAATGTCCTTGGAGTCTCGGATGATATTGTTCATGAAAGCAAGATAGTTAGTCACTTCTCTGCCTGCCCCGACTTGTAAACGCTCGAAAGCTAATAGGTTGAGAAAGAATGTTTCAGTAATATTATCCACAACAATTACAGGCACCTTGAGGGTGACGCAGAAAACACCTTTGTAAAATCCTATGTAATGGAGACTTCTGCTTCTTTGCATTTGGATTCCTGCTCCGTGAAGCTCTGTTGCAGATGGAATTGTCTTCTCAAGAACCCAACTTGGCCATATTTTTCTATGTCGATGACTGGCACCGGAAGGTAAAAGCAAAACCCCGTGACAAATGTCTAATACATGCAAGAATTTGTCTATGGATTTGTGGCGACTGTAACTGTCGAGATTGTAGAGGCTAAACAACAGCTTGTTGACGTAATCCTCTGGTTGGAAGGAATTTTTCCCCAATAAACTATTATTTGGTTGGAAGCCAAATATATCCTTTCCTTGCCTTTTGATAATTTTGATCCCAAAAACTAGATAACAAAACCTTTCTCTCGTTCTACTAGCAATTGTTTCAACTCTCTCAAAAAGTTTGAGTTCAAATAATTCTCTTATATTATCCATATTTACATTGCAGTCTATTATGTTTCATTAAAGTCCATATTACGACAATCTCATTGATTTTTGTTTATTTACAATCGATTATAAAGATAATTATTTTACTGTTAGCATTGAATGGAATAAATATTCTGTGTCGAACAATTTAGATTGTTTTTCTGGGTTACTGATCTAATTTTCTGTCAACGTTTTATGCTTTAGAAGAATTCTATAGTAGTTTATGCTAATAGTTGATGTAGTTATTTAATTTCTAATTGGTTTTCAATCTAGCTTTTCTCTCAAAAACTCTTACAAACTACTAATTAATGTTTTTAGGTACTTTTGAACCATTGATTATTCTAGATGAATAGATTTTTATATTCATATAATGCTGATATATATTTTTCCTTTCCTAGATTAGTTTTCTACCTCACAAGGATAAAGTGAATAAAAAAGGGGAAATTTTTTGAAACCTCACAAACAGCGCGGTTGTTTGTGAGCTTGAGTAAAGTAGCTTTGATCAAGGCTAGAGGAAAGAATTAGACAGAACTTAAGGTCCATATCCCCCCAGAAGCAGCTTCTATCATCGTTGATGTCTAGGAAAACCAAAGATATTAGACTGGCAACTCTGATAGATGACATAAACAATTTAAACTCTTTATTTAAAAAATGCTCATTTTGTTTAGATATAGCAAATGACAATATAAGTACATCTGTTAGTACTTATGCAGTTGGCATTTGTGATGATGAGAAATGGAACAATTCTCAATGTGTCTAACACTTTTGAATAGTCTCTTGGAGCCGTTGCTCTACAAGTGTAAAGTTATGAATTTATCAATACTTCGTTTCAGCAAAAAAAAAAAAAAAAAGCTCAAGAACTACTTTTTGAAGTGACTTTCTCACATTTTTCTGCAAATCAATTGTACTGAATAGGTGCAAAGATCCATAGAATTTTATACAAAAGTATTGTTCTATGAAATTAATTTCATGTAACCCCTTTGACGTATAACATAATTGCAAAAGCTAGCAATAGGCATCGAGAATCACACTTAGCTCTCATATTTTAATGCTTGCATAAACAAACCCAAATAAGATTAGCAAAATTTTGCTTTGATTTTCCTAAAATATGCTTTTCTATCTACAAATGCAGAGATGAAAAAAAATCAACCGTTGACTTCTTCAGAACTTCCCACCGTAAACAAATTACGCTGTTGTACCATTGTAACATTGTTTGATCAAACATAGTAACTAGAGATTTTCTTACTTTGTTTTATTTTTAGTGTATTTTTTTTATTTTAGTGTAAGTTGAAGGTCTTGAATCCAGAATCTCTTACTTATACTCCCTTCTCCTTCTCACCCAATCCATCTGACAGGTATTGGTCTGTGCAATAATAAAATCATACTCTCAAAGATGTAAACAAGTATAATGGCAAGTAGCGTCGTCTTCATAGGGATTAGGAGGAAAATTTGTTTCCTTCCAAATAAGAATTAATCGGGGGAGTCTGGACAATTGAAAATGAAAATAAACAATCAATACAAATTAAAAATAATTAAACTAAAACAAGTTAAACTTAATTGAAGGATAAACGAACTCTAACCAAGGAAATAACTCCGGGAGTGGTTCAAATGACTGATTATTGATACAATAATTATTTCAATTATTCGCTAATAAACATAAACGACCAACTTTTTCTTAGTGTCTCAATAGTTAAGGTACGCTCGTTAACTACTTTTCTAACCAAAAAATAACTCTAGGTACGCCCATAGAATTTAATTTCTTGATTGCATTAAAAATAAAAAAAAAACCCTATTCTAATTAACAAACACACTACCAAGGTTTATTTAATTTATATCGTATGTCTCCCTAACATGATCTCAATCACATTAGTTGTCACTAATTTAAGATAATTAAACAATTACAGATTTAACTGTCCTAATTGACAATAGTTCGTTAGCTTGAGTTAAATATCAGGTGCCTTTAATATTCAAACAACTACAAACCATGAGAAATTAAATCAGAAGGCATACAAATATTAACGAATAAAATAAATTGATAAAAACCATAGTTATTAAACCCTGCCCGGCTCGGCGGTCGGACCGGTCAAACCGGTGGCCCAGCCATGAAACGGGGCCGGGTTACTAGTTAGTTGCAAAGAACCCGCTTCGACCCGCTTGACCTGGACGGTTTAACAAGGGAACCACTAGAACCGGCAATTATTGATAAACCCGATGGGTTTTGGCAATTTTTTTGAAGTTACTGTTTTACCCAATTCTTTTATTTTGACTATTCACATTACATGGGCATTATCGTCTTTTCGTTACATTTTTAGCCAATTAGAAGAGAAAATCAGAAAAATTGAATAGGGATTCGGCCATTTGGGGATTTAGGCATTTAGGGATTCTTTTCTTCTTTGTTCCTCTGAGAAGTGAGAACGAACTGAGAACTTCTTGAGGCAAGCAGGGATTTAGTAAGCAGTTTTTCAATTTTTCGACTTTCAATTTTTTAGGGATTCGGCTTTCAATTTTTCTTTCCTGTGCTTTGCTAATTGCTTTTAGAGTCTGAGGCAAGCAATTGGAAATTCGAAGTTGCCGCAGCCGCTGCCAGAATTCTTCCAGGAAGCCGCTGCCACCGAAGCTGCCATTGAAGGCTTGAAGCTTTGTTGCCGCCTTGCCAATAAGCCAGTGAAGCTTTGCAGTTAGGCACACACCATGGCATCTTGGAAGTTCAAAGTTCGAAGTTGCCGCAGCCGCTGCCAGAATTCTTCCAGGAAGCTGCAGCTGCCACCGAAGCTGCCATTGAAGGCTTGAAGCTTTGTAAGCCAGTGAAGCCTTGAAGGTAAGTAATATCCTGGCTTCAGCAGTCCAGCTTTCTGCTCATGAATCTGCACACACCACGGCACCAAGTGCTAATGTGTTTCTCTCCAAGTTAGGAGTTATGTGCATCTAGTTATATATATATGTATATACAACGCTGCTCGTTAAAGGTAAGTCTCTTGAATTCCAGTTTTAGAGTTGATGTTGAAGAACCCAATTGTTTATCTATGGAAAAAATATATAAAAATATTAAATAAACCATAAACATCAAACTTTGATTTCCCAGTAACTTGTAAAAGTTGACAAGCTATTGCAAGTGCATCAAATATTGGAACTTTTGTACATATGATGGCACCTTGTGTGATACTCGTGCATGCACTAATTGAATCTTGGCACTTTTAGCTTTTTAAGAGGAGATGCACTCTAGAATTTGTTGAGTTGCTTGTTTTGTTGGTCAGGTTCTAGAGCTCAAGCTCATGATAGCTAAGGGAGGTAGAAATGTAGAGCCATCCTTTGTGCTTGCTTGACTTCTAAAGTTATGGTTCAATCAATTTAGATTTTCACAGTTAAATTTTGTTATGAATCTTAGAAAACATCCAATGGAGAAATGCTCAGTTTGAAGATTTTCAGACTGGGATGTATTTGAGTGGAAACTTATAATAGAAGCACGAATTATAGTTGCACTATGAATCTGTGTTTATTAGCTTATTCAAGAAAGTAAATTGAACCTCTTAGTAGCCTAGGCAGGTTGAATTCGGTAACTGAAAATAGGAGCTAAAGGAAAAAAAGATCTGTTAGGATATGAAGATCTAGAGGGTAGAAAGATTTCAAATGACCCAAAAAAATGCTCTTTTTCTGTACTTATATTATAATTTACATGTTTATTTAATTATATTATATATATTTTTTATTATATATTGTGACCCAACAGTTCAACCAGTGACTCACCGGTTGAATCACTGACCCGTCAACCCAATCCTCTTGCCGGGTTGATGTCCGGGTTGGTTTTAATAACTATGATAAAAACGATTAAATCTCACCGATATTGATGAATCAAATCCTTTGTTATTCCTCGACTAGAAAAAGAGAATTTAGTTGCACATTATCGCCATTAAATAATACGAATTGATTGAAGTGTTTTTCATAACCATCTGATAATGTCCAAAATGTAAGAAAAAGAAAAAAGGATGAAGGCGGCTAAAGCTTTCTGCCTTTTTTCCGTGAGAGCCAGTCACAAGACCTCTTGACCTTTTTTAGTACCCCCAATTCGGTTTCTACTTGGCTAACTGAAAAATAGAATTCTAATTGAAAAAGGAAACTTCAAAAATAATCCTAATTGTTCCCTAAATAAAAACATCTAAGAAAAATGGCAATTTCCTAGTCTTTGCCTAACTTCCTACGTAAACTCCATCTGGACTTTGCAAACTCGCGCTTGATGACCAATTTCAGAAAAATTGTCCCTTTTTAGCACTTTTCCCTCCAACGCCCTATAATTAACACAAAACAAAAAATATAAGTAGAATCTGACAATTAAAACAATATTTGACAAGAATAAAAGAGAAATTAATCATAAATTTAATATCAAATTTCAACCTATCACCATCCCTCCCCCTTCTAGCAACTAGAGATTGTATCACTGTTTGATAAATGTAATTACTCTAAACTTATGTTACTAATTATGTGCAATTTAATATCAGAGGTTTTGCAAGTATTTTCAAGAGTTTTTTGCCAAATAGTTGTAATTTGTGTTTAAAAAAAATTCTATCATTATTTGTTATTCCAATTTTCTCCTTGCATGATGAAGTATTATATTGCCATCTCATACTCCACACCATCCATGTTGACATAACTGCTACTTCTAAATTCTATACTTATCCACTACTACTATATATATCCAAGTCTTCCCGCTAACTTCAATTTAAAAAATCCCAATACTCTATAATTAATTCTTTTGCTCTAACTAGTTTGTTATTTTATATCTTTTTCATTATTTACTTTTTCCTAAAATATACGCACACATAGAGTGTGTGTCTCACCCAGTGATTCTAATAATTACACAAACTAGTATGAACTAGACAAATTTTCTACTTGTGAGGCCCGTTATCCAACATTTACATGGGTTACTATTTTATCTATTTATCTACACAAATTAACAAAAAAAAAAGGACAAATTGATTACCTGAGTAGTTTTGACACAGAGCTTAGCGCCCGTG